AAACAAATAGTCTGATGCTTATTGCTTTTAACTTATGTTAGGAACGCTTTCCTGATTTAGCTGTAATTGTTTTGATGTTTCCATCTTTTGCTCGCAAAGATTTCGACGTTTCAGGCTAAGTAATTTTTGCATATAAGTAATAGGCGCCAGGAAGGAGTTGAATTTTTCATTTCCACCATTTCCATGTGATGTTTTTTGTGTTCTGTTGCTATTACACAGTCGCCATCGTTCTAATATCACTCGCCAGAGCCACTCACAGCATATGTAACAGCTTCGCTCAAGTTTTGAAGGCTTTTGCCGGGAATGTGCCAGATCCATAGCAGAGAAGCTACGAATGGTGCCGCTTCCAGGCATTATTGCTGGATTACTGAGCCTGTTGGGCTCACAGAATTCAGTGGCTGCAGTTGGCGATTTCTTAACGAACAAGCTGTAAGCTGAAGATAATCTTTCCGAGCTGTAACAACAGACGACCTATTGTATCTGCCTTATGGTTTGCGTAACTTCGACTTTTTTGAGCTTTTTAGAAAAAATGCCCGTTCTTCATGGAGAATATGCCATCTCAAATTGGCTTATTGTTCAATAGGACCTGGCTGTTTTTTGTCAACAGTTCGTGCGAACAGCACAAATCGCGCTCATGTTTGTAGTGGAAGTTCTGGGATCTGTTAACTGTATTGTTAGATTTGTTTTTCTTCTATGATTGCATTTTTCGAGGCCTTTATTCAGCTTTCTTTCACATAGCCAGAGAAAAATGAGGGTATTTTGGTTTTTTTTTTCTAAAATTTCCAAATGAATATGATTTTCAAACAACGAACTTGTTTTATTGGTCTAAGATGTGCATTTGCTTCGGTTTTGTGATATTTTATTTTCTACATGTTAGAAATTAGTCCTTGTTCACGGTCACGCATGTATATTATTCATCAGCAGCACGAACTCGACTTTTATTTACTAATAAATATGTGGAAAAAAAATTTTTATTGTGAAGGTTTTTCCAAAAAAAATATTCTTTCTGGAGAGATATTAAAAGCTATAATTGTTGTAACAAATAACCAGGGATCTGTTTTGAATAGGGAATCTCTTTCATAAATTTACAAAGAGCGGAAGAGAGCGGGCAGGGGATCAGTCTTGTTCTTGATGTAGTTGAGGAGGGAATGCCACGTTTTGCGACGAACTGCACAGTCATATTCAAACGGTTCAATTTTAGGCTCAAAATGAGTTTGCCAATGAAAGTGCCGAAGCCTGTGCCACCAGTAAAAGGTTCGTTCCCGCTGGACTATGAGGGACAATGCAAATACGAAATGCTCAAGTATATGCTC